CCCTTCGCCATGTGGTAGAGCTAGTCCCGTAAGCCAGCGAGCGGTTATGATGCCATGGTGAGAAAAGACATCGAGTAGAGGATTTTCCCTGTTCAGCTGTCTGGGGAAAAGGAAGATCCCACGGCTGCCGCCGCTACTTTAGTCGAGCGGCTTCCGGCCTCCCACACTTTTCCCCAGACGTCTGATATTTTGACACTTTTTTCCAAGCAAAAGCCAGTGCACATAGCTTATAGAGTGTGGACCGGAGGCGCGTAAGCCGCTCCATCTAGTGGCGAGAAGGGAGTCCGCTGGCAGCAAGCAGTAATACGATGGCGGCCAGTACGGGGTGAGAGACATTTAGAAATATGACGAGGCACATGCTAAACCTCAAGTTCCACCTCGCACGAGGTGTGATGGCTGGAAGCAGGGGGCAATGAGCAAGAAATTAAGTCCAAAAAGAAGAAAGAGTACGGGGTATAGTGCCATTGACTGCAACGCCGTACGCAGAGAGATGCCAGCCGGTGTTCTTTGAAACGGCGGAGGTCAAGAGAGCCTTCGGATATGAGCAGTCATATTCTGCTAGGTGCTCTGTTGGGATGAAGGACAACAGATATAATTTGGGGTAACCGAGCCGTCGGGGATTGCGACGCAGAAGGATTTCTGTTTAGCTCACAAAATGACCATTTCGCGGTGTCATGCCAATCATTCAAAACTCGTGAAGAAAAGTCGAATTTCCAACAGAGAAATGAGCGTCGCCGAAACGTCATGCCGTTTGGGGGAGGCTACCTGATGAGCATGCATCGAGGTGATCGACACAAACCACCAACGGCCGTTCTTGGATCCTAGGCGATTGACGTTGTATGGGGCGATTTCTATCGAGAGAAGGGAAACCAAAAAGGCGTGCCTACCGTACTTGCTTCTATTTGGGTATGAACGCGAGCTGTGATGGATCATGGAGGACGACTTTTGTTGGTCTGGATGTCTTAGCTCCCGTAGACTTGCAGATAGGATGATGCATGGTGTCGCTCCTCGACATGCGCGCGTTCCCTTCTCGTGGCCGCGCATTAATAGCACTGTCGCTTAGGGCGGGACGAAGAAAATAAAATACCCCAATACTAAATTACCCCGGACAGCAGATACCGACATTGGTCTGTGTGCGAGACAGACAAGCCACGACTCAGACTCGGGCTATTCGGGTGGCAGAGGTTGACGACGACAGACTCGTGCTTGGGCAGCTGATTGCGCAGGTGCTTCATAGTCGAACAACACGACACCAACCCCATCTTTCCCCAACCTCTCTCCTTTGGGACTTGTTGTTGTCCGGAGCTCTTATCTGCAGACTGACGAGCAGTCAGGTAAATGGATGGTGATGCCGATGCACTTCCGGCCTGCGATATGTATCCGTAGTTCGTCTTGCTGCAAGCTACGCCGCAAGCAGCAGATGCCCGCGTTTGTCAACGGAATCAGGGACCCTGTGCAAAGCTGGACCAGCCCAGCGATTGGGGGGGGGGGGGGGGGTTTCTCGACGAATAAGCCGCCGACAATCACAGCCCTTGCCCTTGCGGCCTTGTCTCCCTCTGGGCCTCTTCTCCGCAGTTCGCGGCTGGCTGCCCTAGTCTGGACCGGGCTATTTGGAGTAGATTTGCACCCCGTGGCCAAGGAGGGGTTGCCCCCGGGCATCGGAAGGGAACGCCAAAGCGAAGCCATCGTGAGATTTTTCTGCCCCTCAGACTTGTTTGATGATTGGTTCCAAGCCCCTGCTCCCCTGCCACGTAGGCGTTTTTCCGGGTTCGTTGCAGGGAAGGCAGGCTCACCGGTGAGACCACCCAGCCGTCCCTGGAGGCGTGTGGAAGCCGAAGCATCGTGAGCTTCACTTGTTTCAGTGGGTCTCGTGAACCTTCTATGGAGAAACGACAATGGAGGTACCATCACATTCCGCTCTGACAGGCTCTGCCCGGTAGAGAGGGAGAACCACATCGTGGACCGTTCTGGAATTTGGACCCTTCTTTCTTTTTTGGATAGTGGTTCCGAGTTCGTGGCGGCCCAGATTCTTCGAGGCCTACGATGCATCTATTCCTTACCTCACATATTGCTGAACTCAGCGGGGACGGCTTTCACCGACCGGTAGTAGAGCCGGTCATTGGAAGTTACCCATGGCCGGTCTTGACGAACTTACTGCGTATACATGATCCAGTTCTGAGTACAGGGTATTCATACACCCGCCCTACGGCGTCGTCACCGTTGTTTTGTTGGATTGGGTTAAGACGAGCAGGGCGCTCGAGCCGGGAGCGTTTGGGCTGTCAGCGAGGTGTGAATGTCGTGGAACGATTTTCTGGCCCGGGATCGTTAAATTCTCAGCCAGAGACGAGATCCGCGTGCCTCAATGGCTGATACTGATAATAAGGGTCGGTCCGTGTATGCTACAACTTCACAGCTCATATCTGCCCAGGGTGCCGGACTAGAGGTATTGAACATACGGCAACGATTAGGTACGAATTGTTTGTTTTCACGTTCATCGTTTGCATTTGAAGCTTCATTCATGAACCCAACCACGCCGACTTGCTGAAATCTTTTTCGGCGTAGTGGACCTCACTGCTGCGGTGCTGTGTCCGAGTTGACCAGGGATGATCAGTGATCGTCGATACATTCGAGCAGAGGCCCAAACCCCAGAAGCGCCAGACAGGGAGGGTAAGAGGTCCCGGAGAAATTCATACCTGACTGTGAGCATGCGATGGACGGAGGTTTCCATTGAATCGAGCCGATCTAGTCTCGAGTCTCGACCACAACCAGCTCACAAGTATACAAGTAGAATTGATGGGCATCGGGCTGGTTGTTGGAGATCATGGCCCGGGGCGCCGTGGCCCCTTCGATCTCTACGAGCGTTGATTCCGAAAAGACACTGCGCACGCCGCAGACTGGACGTTAACGTGCCACTGTGCCAGCGGTATGTGGCTTTCCGTGGTGCCGTCTCTTCCCGAGACTGACATTGCCAGCCGGCCAGCGATGCTAATCCGGATCGGGTAACCTGACGGAACGAGCTGACCTCAAGTCCGATCGCTTCTCGTAAGAAGCAGAGCTGGCTCGGCGGCTTTCTTTGGTTGTCAACGCATTGTCCAATCGCATGGCAACTCCAGTGGTGTCGTTGATTAAGCTAGTGCCGTTCACGATCCAGGCTTGCGGTTCCTGCACTCTCATCACCTCTGTCGTTCAGACCATTGTCTGGATGGTGGGCAACTGGACCGCTGCGATTTGGGGGAAGGAGTGATTTTGTCTTGCGGTCTTTCGAGCGCTTGTCGCGTGTCTTGGTCGCCCGTTCAAATGCGATGGTTATGACAACTGTTTAATCGATCACTCTGACACAGCAACGCTCTGTGGAGTCTCTGGCATTGCGGGATCTTCTAGTAGGACGTGGTATAGCGGATGAGTGGGTAATGTTGCGCTTCTTTCGACACTGAAGGTGTACGAAGGAACACCTGGCAACCTGTAGTGAACTCGTGATATTCGGCGGTTTGTCTCTGAATATTCAAGATTCTTCTAGCTTCTGGTCCCGCCTCCATGTTCGCTCCTAGTAGTAAAGCGTTGTGCACAGTCGTTTTCGTCCTTGAGATTGCGAATGATGACAATGATGCAAGCTGCGCAGCGAGTGGAGACCGTTAGGCCTCGACGAAACCAGCAGAATAGCCGTGACCAGGGGCAGCCTGGACAGGTGAGAGAACTTGGATGATTGGGAAGCATCGTCCGCGCCGCATCTCCACCCGAGATAATTGACGGCGATGGAGTCTCCATCAGCGACTCCAAACATCTCCCGCTCCGACATTGACGATGGTACCTCGATGCCAGCATCGCTTGCTGCATGGATAAGGGTAGTTCCAAGGCCGCCGAGTTGACGATCATGCTTGATCTGGAGTCTTCTGAGGGCTGAGTTCGGGAGCAGGTGCAAGTCGGGTTGCAATAGAGGAGCTGTTCTTCCGCGGAATAAGAGCGACGGAGTCGAGCAAACTCAATGAAGTCTACGACAGCGGCAATACCGGCGACGAAGCAAAACTCGAGTCGTTCGTCGATGGCTGAGCCAGGGTCTATCCTGCTTCACTTGCGCCTGGTGCGAGCGCCGCCCCTGATCGATCGATTGGTAGTTTCCTCGACTCTGAGTGGCTGGCATCTGGAGTGCGAAGAAAGCTAGCCCCCTATCCATGCTCACGGAGGAAAGCGTATTATCGTAGCCATTGCCTCGATCGCCAGATGTCGTGTTGTTAGTTATCATTTGATGACCCGAGACTACAGAACGATGATTGACGGCGGTAGAAGGTTGAACAGTCTAAAGCACCAACGGCAAAGATTGCTTGCCGAGGTGAGCACCCCTTCGACTGACAACGAGTGCCTCATGTTGCTCGTTCCACGGTCGAAACCAGCGACTAAATGGCAAGTGACAACGTGCCCAGAGAAATTTATGTATCCAATGAAACGTGGTTCCCGAGCTTGAGAGCAGAAATTTTGCAGGACATCAGGCCATTGTACGGTATCAGCGTCTTGTCAAGCCAATGCCAAGCCTCGACTGCGTCGTGGACAGCTGTGTTGATGATTTACTACAGTCGGGGATGTGGTTGGACGCCCCCCGTCGCTGTATTTGCTGTCACCGAATGCTCCCCGATGGCCGGATGCCCCCGCTAAGAACAGTTCGATATGTACAAAAATTAGACGATCAGATCGCTTTTACGACTATGCTGCTGGACTGCCGGGCAGTCGCATTTCTGCCGTCCAAGTCAATTCCAGGATGATGCGGTTGTCGCATTAGGGTCTCGTTCGTGGCGTCCAAGAAGGAATCATGCAGAGACAGGAGAGATGCAGCTCCGAAACTAGGCGACAAATGAGCGTTGCAGAGGGCGTCTTGCATCCAATGGCCATGTCGCACAGTGAGCCAGGAGAATGACACTTGCATGCGTGTGAGTTCTGGTTGCGGAGCTGACCCTGCAGTTGTTCAGAGGTGACTGGAGAAGCCAGTTCCAGATGCTGGGTTTTGACCAATGCCGAAGAAAGAGTGCCTATGTTCGCTACTCATACTCGTCTGTTCGTGGTCTTATGAAGGTCTTGTTTCCGCCCGTCGGTGTCGGGCCTTGTCAAAGAAAGACGGGATGAGCCACCTCCATGCGCGGGTTCTTTGTATGCGGCAGGGTGATCTGAGGAAACGTCAGGTTTGCGGGCGCGACAGCCCTGGAAGGAGAACGTCAAGAAATTTAGATTCTCATCTGCCGGATGGTCGATGGTCTCTCCGCGCCGTCTCTAACAAGATCAAGCCATGCTCTCCATGACCAGCAGTTTGTGGCTGTAGGCTGTAGCATGTCTCGTCATAACTACGCAGCCAGCTCTTCGGCTGCTACGCAGCGAACAAGTGGATAGCCACCGCCGCCGCCGGCCACCGCTAGAACACCTGCCCGTACTCCGTACTGTGTAGATTGTTCAACGCACATAATGGATGGTCGAAAGCACTATGTATGTGGAGAACCGTGATCATTGATGTAGGTGGAGAAGATCGGTCGGTTGTGGAAACGCACGTTTGTTGGTAGGGCGGCACGGCGGGAGTTGGGCTTGCTGAACGGGGATCGAGGGCCGCCTGTGAAAATAGGCGACAAACCCGGGAGCTAGGGAGACATCGGACCAGGGAAATGCCTAACGTCGAGGAAGCATGCAAGGTAGCTGAGGTCTGGAGTCTGAAGTCTGGATCGGAGTCCAGGCTGTTGCCACCGAATAGTGACATTGACAACGGCAGCGGGCAATGACAAAGACATGCCAACTGCCCGAAGACGGATCAGGCTCCGTTCGGGTTGGGCCGCTGGTCCAGTGTGCTTGCATCGGCCAACTAGAAATTGTTGAATGATTGGGACCGAAGAGGTGGGATTTGTCCCCCAATGTGTGCCGTATTAGTCATAAACATGCTGGCCGCCGGGTTGAAGAGTCGGATGAAAATATAGGTATTGGTAGAGTACCTAGTCAATTACCTGGATAGTGTAATGAGGCATTCGTAAAGATTCGGGGAAAGACAAGTGGAAGAAGAGGCGCGAGACACGCACAGCACGCGAGGAGACGTAGCGAAGGTCGATGGGTACCTAGTTCCTTTGTTCGAATTGGTGCAGTCACTGCAGCACTGGCAGCGATGGCATTTGGATGTCTTGGTGTCGTGCAGTCTTGGGCATCATCTTCGTGCTTGTCTTGCAGGCTTTGCCGCAGGTCGGAGACTTGACTGAGTTGACTCTTCTTGTCGATGACATCTGCATCACGCGTGTGTCACTGCGTAGCGGAACATGTCTTGCATGGGTGCATTCCTCGCGAGGCACTTTAGCCAAAGGCGTCGTTGGAGTGTGTCCCAACCTTTTGATGCCGAAGGATTTTGCAGTTGGGAATGGCTTGTACTGTCTTCCGCGGACCAACACACCTCGTTGACTGGTGAGTTGAGGTGAGGTGAGGTGAGGATAAGGAGTCGTTGGCCTCTTTCTTTTTTCTTTTGTGGTTATTTTTCTCCCGGATGCTCAGGGCTGTGGTGCCGGTGGTGTGTCGCAGTACGTATCTGTATTCGTAGCAAACGGCAAGAGCTTAGAGATTGCTTTGCTGTGCTTCGTACCTACCTTAGGTACCTTCCACTGCCCAAGGAACCTAAGGTCAACGGCGGGGAGAAATCGGTACGTGCCTTGTCGTCGGCGCATGTCGCGAAAAAAGGTGAGAGGCTCCAGCGGGCCAATGACGAGATGCAGATCATGGCGCGATAAGGCAAGGTACCTGGTCGGAAGTCCCTCGTTCCCTTTCTCCGTAGCTGCTGCCCTTGCCCTTGCTCCTGCAGTCTTGCACTCTTGCTTCCATCTGGCCCTGCCCCCGCTCCGGTCGTGGTCCCGTTGTCCCCGCTCTGGCCCTCAGAAACTGATTCGGTACGTATCTTTGTCGGAATGGTGAGGATTTGGCTCTTCGCTTCTCTTCGAGCTTTTTTATTTTTATTTTTATTTATGTATTCCTATAGCGATTCTGTCTTTTCAAGCCCCCAAGCAGCCAAGCCAAGGACTGCCACCAAAACTTTGTCTGACCCTTACTGCTTTTCGAATCTTGAATTCGCAGCCGCAGCACGGGCCAAACATCGGCCATCCTTGCCAATGCACGCACATCCATCTGTCTTGGACCCCTGTGCTCGCCATGCCTTTTGGCTTTTACATAGTAAAGTGCGGTTTTGCCAATGTCAACAGCTCGCTGCCTCTCCTGGCTTGGCCAAGACAGCACACAACCTGTTCTCACTTCTCAGGTGTGCGAGTTGTCTCCTTCTTGCAAGGAACACCGCTCCGAACTGGGGCACGGTATCCATAACTATGCAAGCATGCAGGAGGTCAATTAGATGGAGCAAGCGACGTGGTGCGAGGCATGTGCGGCTACTGGGTCGTAGGAGGATCCATTCGTACCTGACTGGAGTCTTGGACTGTATGGGATTTTCTTGATTCTGTACAGAACGATCCGTCATCGAGATTCGAGGGAGTGATTCCATAGACACTGACTGATTGCTACTGTGAGGGTGAGGCAAGGAACTGCAAGAAACGGGCATGGTGGAGGAGGGTAACAGAGAATAGAATCGAAACACTCCTAGGGCAGATTCGACGGAGTTCGATGTCGGCAAGTAGAGTGCAGCATAACGTCGCAGATGGATAGGTGCTGGGAACCCAACCCAAGGGCTGCAGCAGCCATACTTTCGAGTGGACGCCATAGAAAAGATGGACGAGTCGAAACACGGGCTGTGGATGGGTTTGTGTCAATCGTAGGTGGCTGTCACACCCTTTGCTGGCTCTGCATTGCACGTCCCCATTGAGCTGGGCTAGCTGACATGCCTCGACCTGTCAGTTTTCGGCCAACTGCCCTAGACTTTGAAGATAATGGCATGTCATCGTAGCTGAACTTCAGATCGATGGCAGAGGCGTACACTACTTGGCAGCGACGACGGCCAGGCCGCCTATGGGAGGGCCTAGACGAGAAGCCACGAGGCTCTGAGATGGTGTAAGCTGCTAACGACGTTTGGTTGCTCGTGATGATGGGACGAGATGAGAGAGAGCCCAGTGCTTTGTGATGCGTATCCGTCGTAGCCTTTGCTGCATGGCGCCTGCAGGGTGAGGTTGCTCTGTTGGGTCACTGTGAGGTGTTACTGGGATGCAAAAGTGAGCTGCGCGCGCTGTACGCAGGCCCTCCGGCCATGTCGTACCACAGTATCCAGATGTACCGTTTCGGTACGATGTTGCTTTGAGAACTCGGGCAATAACCTTGGCAATGAATTGATACGCAGCACGTGCAGTATGGCAGTAATGCTCTGTAAGTGTTGAGGATATCTGGACGTCAAATGTGCGGCAGTGAGGACGTATCTGAGGGTAATACAAGCAAGTAGGTACATAGGTACTGCAGGATCATGGCTTCGAACGTGCCTTGGGCCGTGCTTGCGCCTCGTTGTGCGACCAGGTGCGGATGCTCCTTATCTCTGCAGCAAGCTGTGCAAAAAGACGGGGAATTCCAGGCGGTGACCTGTGCGGATACCCACCAGCATCACCCCAGCTTCACGCCAGTCCCAATGCAGTGGACCCACTCGAGATAAGGTCCTCGTCTGCAATCGGGACCAATCAGGAGGATGTTGGCCGCGCCCAAAGGCACAGACGCGCATACCGTGTCTTCTGGCCCTCTGTGCACGGTACCTTGGGTCGCAAGGTGCAGGCGCCCCTCCTTCCCGGCCCTCTTCTTTTTCGCAGCATCCCTCTTCCTCCCGCCATCCCGTCTTAATGCTGCACGGTGGCCTGTGCAAAAGCGCGAGGCTAATAGCGAGCGAGGATGGATCTCTCGAATCGCAAAGGCGTGAGAGCGAGGGCACTTTAGGAAGAAGACGGAAAGAAGGAAAGGAAGCAGACGGGAGGAAAGAGCGAGCCCGGTCTGAGCAGCCGTAGCGCCTCGGGCTCTCTCGTTACTTTCGTTACTCGAGTCTCGTAGGAGAACAATTTCCAGCTCCAGTCCAACATTGGATGGACTCCACTGCGGGCGCCGCGCCTACGCAGCATGGCCTGCGGCCTGTCTTGTCTTTTCCTTGCGTTGTGTCCTGTCGCTATTTCGCCTTCCCAGGAATACCAGACCCGGTTGCTCCTCCTTGCCCGCCGCCGCCGCCGCTCTCCTTCCTAGCATTTCCAGGTTCCGGCCCCCCTTCCAATCATCTCTATCACAAACGCACACACCCACACAGGGTGACTCTTGCAAATGCACACGGGGTAGAACATGATTGAGAAAGAGCAGGAGCGACGGCGGCAGCAGCAGCAAGCAAGCAACAGCAGAAAGTGTCGTCCAGCGTCAATTTGTCTGGGAATCAGTCGTGCCTTCCATCCACTCTCCACCATCCACAGCGACCCGAAACCAAAGGCGCTGCTGGACGCGAGGTGTGTGAATGTCCCACTCTTTGCGGCACCTACCACTACTTCCTTCCCTCTCCCCAATGAAAAAAGGTAGAAGAAAAATAAGGGAAAGAACAGAGAGAAACCAAACCTCTTGGTCTCCGTCCATTTCCCAATTCGCTCACCCACACACCCTCATTAATATCACCAATAACCCCATTCAGTCACCAACGCAACACCAACCAGCAAGCACCGGCAGCGGGAACACTCCACTCTCACACAGTCAGAATCCCGATCCCAACCCCAGGCTCCCCCCCCTCTCACTCTTGTATTCTCTTTCTCACCCTCTCCCTCTCACTCACTCTCACACACGGCACACCCATCAAATCACACATACCTACTAGGGGTACTATTCGTACATACACTATCCGTATTACTCACTTACTCACACATCCCGACCTCACACTCCGCGGTTTTCTGGCTCGCGCGCTAGGTACTCTCGTACTGTGCACTATTGCCTCCCCTCACTCCCAACCTTGCCTGGCTTTGCCTTGCTTGGCTTTTCAAATCCACACCCACCCACACCCACCACACCAAAAAAAGACTGAGATCCCTCGTCTTGTTCCTCCCCTCGTCTTTTAGTCCCGTCCACCCCCCGGAAGTACCTGACCTTGCCAACCTTTCGAACTTCTTCCGTCTTGTCTCTCGACCCTCTGTCCATCCAACACTTTTTGACTTCACATCGCCTCACAATACCTACTTCATCTTGCGTCCCGCCTGCGTCTTGCCTCAGCACTTTGCCTTTCTGCTAGCGAGTCTTCCGACGACTATTTCGACTTCCCGACAACGAAATCTGCGAACCAACCTCCTCCCTCGCACTACAACGATCCAACTTCTCGTCCAAACCTTCGCTCTGTCACTGCAGGCTCGTTACGACCCAGACATCCTTCCTCGACCTCATTCCCAGTCACCCAACCCAAATCTACACCTACACTACGCAATCGAACCGCTCCTATCATGATGGCAATCTAAAGCCCGAACCGTCGTTGCGATCTTTTTCCTCGGCCGCCGTGCGAGCCCCGTTCTTCGTTCTCCCACGCCCCTCATTATGTCGAGTCGCCGACTGGGACTTTCACGACCAGTCGAACCTGAGCGCTTTCACGAATACTATGGACCCACAACAGCCTCTTCCTCATCAGAGGAACTCTCACAACCCTCATCTGCTGGCCCTTGTGCCGCCCACTTCCAATGCCCTACCCTTGAGGTCTTCCGCTAGCACGCCAATGACCTCTCCGGGACTTTTCAGTCCCTCAAACCCGCGTCCGAAAATGAACTTTCCGATCCATGCCTCGTCCGACTCAAACACTCCGAACGTCGAGACCAGCAGTCCCTACCTTCACCCGCTCCAGAACCACAAAGTCAGAGAGTAAGTACAGCTTTTTTTCCCTCTTTGCTATACTATGTTGTGGCCGCGCCTTCTTTCAAATAAAGCCTTTGTGTGAATCGACATCGACGGCTCTCTATCAGTGAGGCGGTATCGTGACTACGTAATTGACAGCGGGGGCCAGCCGCAGGCCCCGCGACAAGGGGATGACTATTTGATAAGCTAACCATATTGGTGACCAGGACACATAAAGCCTTGATTGACTCCGACAGCATTACCGGCCGCAAGCTCATCAACCAGTATGAAGTCATCGAAGAAATTGGCAGAGGTGTGCACGGAAAGGTCAAACTTGCCCGAAATCTCGAGACGGGCGAAAATGTGGCTATCAAGATCATTCCACGGTACTCTAAGAGACGACGACTCGGCAAGGTCATGGCCATGTCCCCGCAGGAAAAGACGATGAGAGAGATCGCCATCCTCAAGAAGATGAGGCATCCCAACGTCGTCTCGCTGCTGGAGATTATCGACGATCCGGAATTGAAAAAGATCTACCTGATTCTCGAACACGTGGAGCTAGGCGAGGTTGTCTGGAGAAAAAAGGGATTACCGCACATCTGCCACCACGAGCGTCGTCGCATCGAGAGAGAAAGCAGAGGTCAGCCGCTGACCCCAGAGGAGGAGCATTACGAAAAGATAATGGAGGAGAGGTACAAGATCCGGGAGCAAAAGCGGGAAAAGATGTCTCGAGCCAACATGAACACCCATGAGTTTTGGAGTATCGAGCACGGTATTTCTGACGACGCGAGTTGTGGATCGCAATCCCGCGTCCCCTCGAGGGACGATCTAGGAGCATTGGACTTTTTCGGAGGCGAAGGATCACAACCCAATTCGCTGCAGGCATCCCGGGCTACATCTCGAGCGCCATCGCGGTCTCAGTCTGTGAAGTCAATTCGCGACACCGTTTTTGACCAGGAAGCCATCGACGACACTGAGGACATCGAGACGCCAGGCCCGCTACAGACCAGCAACCCAGGCTCAGCTACCGCACTCGATGGCACTATGTATGGCGCTTACATGGAAGACGCGGCCTTTCGAGGTCGTTCACCCAGCATGGCCGATTCCATCATTTCGCACATGTCCTCGGTCGACTGGAACACTCGGATGCACGACCCTTTCGCTGAAGACTTTTCCTACGTTCCTTGCTTTACCATCGACCAGGCAAGAACGACTTTCCGAGACACTGTCTTAGGCCTAGAGTACCTGCATTACCAAGGTGTCGTACACAGGGATATCAAGCCTGCTAATCTACTGTGGACCAAAGATCACCGCGTCAAGATCTCCGACTTCGGTGTTTCGTACTTTGGCCGTCCTATCCGAGAAGGCGAGGCCGACGATGAGACGGTCTCAGAATCTGAAGCACAAGATTTCGACGATGATCTTGAGCTGGCCAAGACAGTTGGCACCCCGGCATTCTTTGCACCTGAACTGTGCTACACCGACGCGGACCGCATGGAACAACCGAAAATTTCCGAAATGATCGATATTTGGTCACTTGGCGTAACCCTCTACTGCCTCATCTACGGACGTATTCCTTTCCAGGCCGAAGATGAGTGGCAGATGTTTCGAAAAATTGCCACTGAGGATGTCTTCATCCCCCAAAAACGCCTCAGGGCAGTGGACCCTTCTACCCCTCCTAACTCTGAATCTCTCTTTAAGCGGCATAACGGACCTCCCTACAGGGACGACAACGAACTTGCCTACGAGAACATCGACCCCATTTTGCAGGACCTTCTGCGAAACATGTTTACTAAAAACCCGGACAAGCGAATTCGTCTGAAGGATATCAAGACCCATGCCTGGGTTGCGAAAGGAATTCCAGATGTGGAAGCGTGGTTGGCTGAGACTGACCCAGCCAAGACTTCGGGCAGGCGAGTCCAGGTTAACGACAAGGAGGCGGCCCGCGCTGTCGTGCCTATTGCCTTCTTGGAACGCGCACGATCTACCGTGAAAAAAGCAGTTGGGAAGTTGATGCACCCTTTAGGGGATCGAAGCGATAGCCGGTCAAGGCGGAGAGCTGCCAGCAGTGCTGCCAGCTCGGCTGGAGACAGCATGTTCAATGTACCGCCCACGCCACACTCGAGAGAAGCACGCAGAAAGAGTCTCAAGAGCGAAGACTATTTTTCCAACGTCAAAGACTTTGCTTTTGGCGGCTCCGACCATCCTCTTGTCCACAGCGAGACAGTCTCTCCCTATGAGTCTCCCTACGACCCTCTCGCTACGGCTATCGCTCAACCCGTCAAGGGCCAAGGAGCTGCCCTTTTACATGCCATTCAGAACAGCTACAGCGACTCGAGGACGAACAGTGGCACGGCATCGCCTTCAGATCAGTCAACAATTCCTGGGACAGCGTCATTTTACAAGCCTTTCCAGAGATACTCGCAAAGCCCATCGAATGGCAATAGCTTTTTGACGCTTACAGCTGGATTACCCGAGGTCAGGACACAACCTCCTACACCTTTTTCCGGTGACTCCACACTGGACGATCCGTCTAAGGAAATGCGACAAACCCGTGGATACGACGCCTTGACAGAGGAAGCTCTCCGTGCACGCTCAGCAGAGCGTGGCGTGTTCAGAGACCAAGATAAGCGCGCCCCTGCACAAGTGAGCGTCACCACGGCGAGTGTACCTGGTACCCTTCATAGGATGCCTAGCCTTCCTGGCAAGCCTCGAGCTATGCGATCGGTGGACTTGGGTAAGGCGAAGCAGGCCACCAGCGCCTTAGCTTCACCATTGTTCTTTTCGTCTCGGTCTGTCACCGGCTACCAGCATGGCCAGCCACAATCGGACTCAAACATCTACGAGACTCAGCGCCTCACGGCCGACCTAGAGGAGAGACCGCAGACAGCACATAGGATCGAAAGTGTGCGGGATATACCGGAGGCAAGAACGCCACCACCGCGCACATACAATACGTCAACTCCTGAGTCGTTCGCCCGCGCAAAAAGCGAGATGCAGCGCAAGCAAATCGCAGAAAGTCTTATTCAACAAGCTCCGGACGACGTCAGGTCAGACATTGCCGTGATCGATCCAACCGAAGTACCTTGCCCTCTCTCGCCCGATGACGAGCGATTTGGCACGCCGCCACCTCCATCTCGTGAGGACACGATGGAGACTGAAAAGTCCTCCCGCTCGACATCCATCGGTGGCCTGGCTTCTCCTATCACGAATCCCAGCGAAATAGCCAGTCCCGTCTCGTCTGTCAACCACCACACGAAAGAGGAGATGCTTGCCT